CGTTGTCGGCCTGCGAATTTCCGCTAAAGCGGAAGCTAACTTTGAGACCTTCGCTGGGGAGACAAGACGATGCACGTCTTAATTTGGCAGATTCGGAATAACAGAAACAGAAAAATAAGAAGCTAATTTCAGGCAAAACAAATCTCGAGAAATAAATATCAATTTGATTATATGATTATTTAATTAAATGATTATAAAAACATAGCGATGCACATCTTCAGACTTGTCACCTCTGTTTTTGCAAATACGTATTAACATTACGTATTAACACACAAGATGAACATTTTTAAACAAGATACAGATTAAATATTTGGATTAATAATACTTTAGAAATTAATATTTCAATTGATTATATAATTAATAATTAAGTTCATAATGTATAATTAATAATTAAGTTCATAATGAAGTTGTTATTGAGTATAATGTATATGTTGTGATTGCGTCTGAAGAATCAACAGCATTGTGTAACATACAAAATTGTATACAAAATTGAAAACAAGAGAAATGTGTAGTCACACGCACAATCCTTTCGCTTGGTGCTTTCGTAAAGTTTTAATTGCTAATTAAATCAATGTATGTCAGTGAGTTATATGTATCGGGAACGCGCTGCTATGCAAACCTAACTCAATAGCAATTAGTTGTGTGTCACGTATCGCGCACCACTTCTCTTTCCAGAACAATACGAGCTGCCTAAATAATTGTAGAACATTTACAATATACTTTTTATTCAACGCTTGTCTCTTGATCTATTTTCGCAAACTAGATAAAAAAAATATGAGAAGTAGTAAAATAAAAGGGCGTTATTATACATAAAAGAAATATATAAAATTATTATATATGAATAATAATAAAAAGTTTGAATGCATTTTCATTAAATACCGTATAACTTTTAGTCATGATTCATGTAAGTTTACATACTCATTTTGTAATATATTTACATCTTTTACGTGCAAGACATCTTTCAGTATCGAAACAACTAGCGAAGAAATAACGTTCAATCTTAAAATCTTGACACAATTGCACTGTCTCGTTTTGCTTTCAAATTTATGTGCAAATCAACACATAATAGATTATCTTCATCGATAGTATAGTATTTCCCAATATTTTCATTCGCGTTCAAACGGATTTATGCGGACAGCGGTCTACGCCGCCGCGAATTAATTGGATTAAATCGCCCGCAGTTTAATATTCATTTCATGCCTTATAGAGACGCCGCGAAGCTCGCAATCCGTATAAATTGCAGTGCCTTCAAAAAGCAATTTCATTTTGTACGTGAAGTTACCGCGGAATATGAAAGCAGGCTATCTTCTCCCGACAACCCTCTCAATTAGGAACCTAACTCTCGTAGAAATTATTACACCAGAAAATGTTCGGAACGATGTAATATCGGAATTACTACGGATGGGCGTACGACATGGCGAGCAAATTTTTGGTAGAAAATCAAATTTTTCGACTCATCGCGATATGCTCAAAAATTTCTATATTTCATATCTCAATTTATCTCTTATTTATCAAAATTGCCATTGTGCTACTTTATATATACACTTTACATGCTACTTTATAATTCGTATTTTTTTGCAAAGTAAAACAGAATTGTATAAAGAGTTTGTATTATAACAAAGTTTCGAAAAAGAATTTCATTATTCGAAAAAATGAAGTTTATTTAATTCCTCTTCGCTATTATTTACTTAATATTACACGCAAATTGTCACTTACTACCAAGTAAAATTAAAATCAAAATTATGT